GAGAGAGAGAGAGAGTCGAATACACATGCGCGATGCGATTGCACACAAGCAACGTTTGAGTCGTCGTTTTTGCACGTAAATATTTATTCTTGCGAGACACAACTATTATTATTTTGCACTTTTTTACTTTCGGCCTCGAGATTCGCGAGACCGCGGATTATTTATGAATGCCTTGAAATTCCGGAAGAGAAAGATCGGTATTCATGTCCGGCATCCATGTCGCCTATCCGGTCGTTGTCTATTTTCATGAAACTTTTATCGACGACTACTGACTGTTTATAGCGCCGTTCTCCGGACTACTTTTCGCAAAGACTTCCCCGTACTTTCCGAGATACTTTTTGCAAATGATCGTCGTACTTGTAATACTGGAAAGTCGTAAATTAGAAATGTTGTAAATTTGCTAAAAATTTTAATTCCATTAAATACTAAAAACATATCGATATGAATATTAATAATTTCAATGAAAATATTATTGGAATTATAACGGAAGTGAATGATTATTTACATAAAATTAATTTTGTTGATATCAATCGTAAAATAATTTGCATACAGAGAGAATTTTTTTGCCCTCAATTTAGGGTCAGGTATTCTTTTAATGTCACATTGTTTAATGTCACGTGTTATTAAAAGTAATTTATCTTTAATTTTAATTTAATCATATAGTCACGCATTTATATTTTGCTGCTTAAATCACGGTGCTTGTACGCGGTCAGCATGAAATGAAAGCGCTACGGAAGAAAGCTGTTACAATGGCAATTGAGAATTGTAACGATAATAACATTAATTCGTGTAGCGTGTTATTAAATGCTTTCTCTTATTCCGTTCGAGTCGCGATCTCACGAAAGCGCCGCGAATATATTTCTCAGACAATTGCGCCCTTGCAAAATGGAGCAGAAACTCGTTCGATTATTGTTATTGGCAATCGAAGCTTCAATAAGTATAAGTATATACTTTGTTTTCAAGGTTATAAAGTGTAATCCATTGCTAATGTGAATAAAATGTCCTGCATTTTTAAAATATTTCGTTTATAATATTTAATAATTTATATTACAAGTTGTAAACAATTAAACTACGAGAGAGAGAGAGAGAGAGAGAGAGAGAGAGAGAGAGAGTAG